GAGTAGGTTAATCAAAGATGGAAAAGCAAGACTGTAGTGAAAGAGCAAACTAAATCCCAATGACCAGCAGAGTATTTTCACTACAGCTTTAAGTTTATAGATGTGATGAGAAAGAGAGAAGAAAAAAGAACTGGGAATAAAACCATAGATGCAAAGAGAACCTCTCTCCAAAACCAATGTGTCATCATTTCTAACTTTGCCAGAGCATGGAAATGCAGTAGTGTGGGATTATTAAACTATTTCCCATGGCAAAGGCACCTCATTATTTCCATCAGATATATAGCAGTATATTTGTACATTAACCACTTACAAAGAGAAGCTCCCCTTCTCACAGATATCAACAGGCACTTCAGTAATGGGATCCGTGAAAATTCTGCTGACATTTCATGATAGCCCAGAAATAAACAGGAGTAAAGCAGAGTATAGGAGACAAAGCCTTCCCTTCTTTCTGCCAATGCTCTTCCCATTACTTATTCCGGAATAAATAGTGGAAATTACTCCCAACATGGCCAGAGGGGTCATATCACATCTCACACAGCACACCAGAGTGGTTTAAATGTCAATAACCATCTCTAAATAGCCCAGTGCTTATGTGCAGTCATCTCCCACGTTAGCAGGTGTGCCCTGGGCTTTCTCCTGCTATCTCATTCACATCTGAGGTCTCCTCATTTCTGGAAGAATTACTGAAACTTGTGCCAGTGATTCAATTATCCCATTTATTCCTTCCTACAACAAATCAAATAAAGGATGGAAGCTATATTCATTTTTTATCCAGATGATTTTTCCTCCTGATGCTTTGATTTAATTAAGCAACAATTGAATTAAGTGGTAATCACCACAGAGTCTCTTCCGTGTCGCTATCTTCCGCTCACTATCCTATCCTTGCTCGTGGCTGATGTCAGCAGAGCTGCATGAGTGACATAATGCAATTTAAAGATTCTCCCATTATCTTACTTCCTTCAGCACCAAATCTTCACATCAAAAGCTATTTGCACACTGTGAAATTAAAAGAATGCTCAGCAGATAACCATCAAGTTCTGTCTTTCACTTACTAACTGCTCCTAGGGCTATTAAAATTAAAGAATATGGAAAATGCCACTCTTTATATATTTATAATTCAGAGCATAAACAGTCTGGTCTTTTTAATTTTACTATTTTTAATGTTTAGGATCCAGCTTGTCACAGATTTCAGTGACTGTCAAGAAATAGCCTAAATAAAGTGGAATCACAGAAATTTAATACTTAGAGCTTTATAAAAGCTCTGTACTACGTTGAAGTCATATTACAGAAGGGATTTAGAACATTTCAATGTCCCTCTAATAGTTTAAAGCACCTCTTCACTTACAATCTTTTTATTTTTAGACTTGGAAATTATATTACACACACATAGACAAGACTGCAGGATCAAGACCTGAATTTGGCATTTTTCTTAGTGTCTCAGAATCTGCTGTTCCTGTAGCAGCTGCTTTCCCATTTTATCTATTTACAGGAAACTCAACTTCTCTGTTTATCCTGGACTTTCCAGCATTTTGCATTTAACGTGCATTACATAAACATCAAGACAGCATAATAAATATGCCTAACATCTTCCTCCAATGCCGTGGAAAATTCTGAATGCCAAATCCTCCATTAATGCATTCAATTTGTGTCAGCCACATTAATAGTTGCAGTTCAGGGGGGAAAAAAGTGCTGTGAAAATAAGTACCATATTTCAAACCAAATCAACTTGTTTGCAATATGTGCAGATTGGGTCACTCCACAAATTGAATTGATTCTTGTTGTGGCTTAGAATACAGCATACCTGTGGGACTGAGATCTCTTGCTTCTCACACTGGAACCCAGACTAACAGTTATTTACCTCCATTCTGTGACTTTTATAAAAGAAGATGCCCATTAATGAAGTGACCTAAGCCCCACGGGTAATTCCCTTTATTTACAAGAAGAAGTTGTGAATTAAACCATTTTCTCCCCAAGATGACACTATTTATGTAGCTGTATTATTACTCAGAGTAAGGCACAGCCAGGGTAAAGCTTCCATTACGCTGTAAACTTTAGGATTTTTTATCTCTTGTTAAAGAGAAACCATCTTTGAGATTAAAGAAGCTGTTGTTCAATACTTTGGGAACACAGTATTCAAGTTTATGATACGTAATAGTGATATTGGGCTATTGCTTATGAAGGGGAAATATAAATGAAAATAGTACCTGAGCAATGATGACATATACTGCAAATTCTACATGGCCACATAGAGTGATAACTAAAAAGATGACACAGTTTGAAAAATAAGGTTGTCACAAGAACAAAGGCATAGCTATTGTTCTGGAACAGATTTAGGCCAATTGTTTAGATCCTCCTCACAATGCAAATTACAGCAGGAAATCATATGGTTGCAGTTCTTTCTGCTTCTTTGATACTGATGGAGAAGTCTTTTCACCCTAAAAAGAGGATAGCATGTTTAATTTGCTGGGAGAATATGAGCACAAATGGACCTAGATGCTGCCGTGAGTTACATTTCAAAGTTAGGGCTGCCACAGATAAGCAGCCTTTTTAAGGGTGTTTCACATCATCCTTTAAGAAAGAAAAACATGAAGGGCTAAAGTTTCACATTTCATTAAGGAAAAACCCTCTGAAGCTCCGAGTTAGAGAACGCTGATCCATTAAAAAGCCAGAGGAAAGGACTGGACCTGCTGAATCACTTCCTGCAGCATCTGGCACAATGACAACAGAACATTAACTGGGTGTAATTCCAACTACTTTCTGAGGGCTGGAGATCACAGTCCCAGGCAGCAGCTGTTGGCCTCTCAAGATGAATATTTTTTGTAGGAGACAGAGGCAGAACTCCCCCTAAAGGGAATATATTTCAGTCATGTATGCAAGGAACCATCAGCTTCTGAAACAATGAGACTTTTTACCACTCAGAACTCCTAATCATCAGCTAAAATAAAAGCCAGGCAGAGCTGCTCTTAATCACTATCAAAGATCTTCAGATCCAGATTTCTCCAATTCCCAGCAGAGACACATTTTTTCCTGCAGCACACAATAGCTTTGCAATGTACTGCTTTCCCCATTCCTTCAAATGTATAAATATTTTTTTCCTTCACAATATAAAATTGATAGTGCATATGGAAAAAAAAAATTATATGGTTATGACTTACCCTGAGAAGAATAAAATAAGGCTTCAAGCTGGGAAAATGTAGGCTGAGTGAGAATATCAGTCATGGATTTTACAGAGGTGCTCTTCATTTATTTCATAAACTAATTTAAAATCAATTAGCAATAAGGTTGGATTTTCGGGCACGTATTTCAAAGCACTAAATAAATTATACTATTCCAGAGTTACTTCATCCCCATTGAAAAGCCAAAGCTCCAAGAGCAGAGGAAAGCAAGCCTGAAAGATTTGTATTAGATAGCAGAACAATTCAACAGTGCCCAGACTGAAGACTGGAAGGAAGGTCACTGTGACAGGCACAGCACAATTGCACCCACAGGAATCCAGCCAGGAGGGTGAGAGTCTCACAACTGTTCTCATCAAAACCATTGCAAGAATCTTTAGAAAGCACTCAGGGTTTCCATTTTTCTCTTTCAGTGATGTACTGAGCCTAATCTGCTGAACGCAGCTTTGCTACAGAAGCAGAAGCAAAAAGTGCTATTTTGTGCTAAAATTCTATGTTACAGGTTTCTTATCTAAGAGTTTTCAAATAGCTCATCCTTTTTGTTGAAACAGTCTGGACAACAGAGCCCAAACGAGGAAATTCTACAGCTTGTGGTGTTATGGTTAACATGAGAAAACCCTGAAGTTATCCAAATCTGAGACAAGCAGAACTGTGCGGGCTGGTAGAAAATGACCATACACATGAATATGTGCATGGATGACCTGCTCAAATGCAATACAAGGAGGTGATCCAAGACAGCCAGGATGGCTTCATTAAGGACAAATTGTGCCTGACAAACCTGGAAGTTCACACTGAATATGAGGATAAACTTCACTGAAAAGGTGGTCAGGCATTGGAATAGGCTGCCCAGGGAAGTGGTTGAGTGGCCATCCCCCTGGAAGTGCTCAAATATGTGGAGGTGGCACCTGGGGACATGGTCTGGTGGTAAACTTGACAGTATTAGGTTAACAGTTGATCTTGATTATCTTAGAGGTCTTTTCCAGCCCAAATGATACTATGATTCTATGTTATACGTATATTTATGTGACATGATTTTGTGTTTTTATACGTACATATTTATGCCCATATATTTATATGAAGAGTTACACATATATATGCCTATATATAATGTATAAAATATATATTTTGTTAGCTTTTCAATGCTTTTCTGGCCAGAAACCTTTAAGGGGTAAAACAAAAGTCTTCTCTGAAATGGGTTTTTCTCTTGCTTTTTCTTGCCAGTTCTTAGATGTAGCATATTGATGGGAGACATGAACAGGAGAAAGGAAATGTCATCGGGATTTACCACCAGAAAGTAGAGGTCTTTCACGACTCTCACTGAATTTCTAAGTAGGCAATGTCTTTGAGGCACCTTGGTCTTGTTTTGACGAGCACTTTTTGGGTACACACTGCTCTGTGTGAAATTCAGACCTCCAGCACACGTTGAAAGGCTGGATCTCCTTTGCAGACTCCAAGAAATCCCAAAAAAGCTCTTGTGAGCACCGCCTTGGGAATAACCACATTGGCATCACTGGCTATCCTGCTTGATTTATTTTGTGGCAGCCTAATGAATGGGGTCAATCTGCCACTGGTAAAGCTCTCCTGACACCAATGGAGTTAGAACAGGAATTAATTTGGTACTGGAAGCTAATTGCAATGAGCCATTCTTTCCTGTGTAAGATATAGATGGAATAATTTAGATAGTTACATGAATAAATAAACCAGGAATATTAAGCAGTCAGAGAGCATAGGGCAAAAAAGAAAAATATAAATCTATCCTAATTATTATGAACCAAAATAACATTAATTGACAGTCATAAAATTATGTAAAACATGCAGCGGACAATACTAATAAGAGGGGGAAAAAAACCCAACAAGAAACCAAATACCACCTCATGCAATTTTGTAGGAGAAACCAGTGGTCACTACAGGAGTTTTTAAATCTCTTCTCAAAACCTGAAAGGTATTGAAACACCTTTAAAAGGTCATCCTGCCATGCTGCCTTTTCATTCCAAATTTACTTTGTTCTGCAGCCTTGTGCTCCAAAAGATGAACTTAGGAGCAAAGGCTGCTACAAGAGAGCCAGCACTCATCAGCCTGCCTGACAGAAAATATCACAGAGGATATTGGATCCTTTCCCTTCCAAAGCTCACAATTTACAGCCTGCTTTTGGAGTTCAGCACAGCATCCTTCAGTGCTGCCTGCAGGACTGCCCTTTCTTTCCCATGAACAGGGTTGTCTCTCTGTTCAAGCAAAACCAGAGCAATCCCCAGTTCTCTCTCTGTTGCACGTTTCCCACTGGCAGCACTGGCTGAGTGCCAGGACCACTGCTCCTTCCAAGGTCTGGGGGAGCAGCAGGACACCCCAAGATGTTGCCAGCATACCCCATCAGACAGGTGGTGAAACCATTGAGCCTTGGAGGAGGGGGAGTGACACAGGATATGCCCTTGGAGCCCCCAGCCTCACACTTTCCCAGGAACACCTTGTGGAAACCCCCTGAGCCAGCAATGGGAAGCCTGGGGGCTTTGGTCAGCTAAGTGACTCTGGCTTCCTTTTTCCTTCAGAGATTCCCTGCACAGGAGCATGTGCACCATCTGCCAGCTTGGATCCCACCTTCCCTGCTACCAGAGACCCTTGTGGGCTCTGGAAATCAAAGAACAACAAGCTCTGCTGCACAACTGCAAATGCACAACCCAAAACCTGCTGAGAATGCATAGTGAGGCATTTTTTTTTTTCCCAGTTGTATATGCCAACAGATGTTTTAATTATTTTCTTTGAAGAAAAAAAACATAAAATAGAAAATTTGATTAAAATTACTACTTTGCTTACTACTACTGCTTAAAGCAATCAAAGGAAAAGAAATTCAGGCTGCCTGTGAACCCTGAAATTGTTCAGTCCTTGCACTACCCAACAACATGATACTTTTCCCATGGAACCCCTCATCAGGGCACAATTTGAGTACACAAGGGAAGGCTGAAAAATGTATAGATGATGGAAAATCTTGTTGCTTCTGAATTTTAGACACCTTACTCAATAACACATGAACCTATTTTAACATGCTTTGAATGTTATTACCATGGATGGTGTTTCCTAATTGACACCATATAACACAGGTACAAAAAATCATGACAATTCTTCAAATGTCATACAGCTAAAGCTACCCATAAAACCCAAGGTGCCATTTAGCGGGGGGGAGGGGGGGGTGTAGGGGGTGGGGGTGGTAATCTGAAAAATTAGTCTGGCTCTATCCAAACAGATTTTTGCCATCTTCCAGATAAAGAAATAATTTTCTATTCTACAAATTGTTTTCAATTTCCAGGCTGGCACTAGAAGCACAGCTGGAAATCTGTGGTACTTTGTACAATGACAGAGCAAACAAAATCACACCTCTGCCCCAGGATCAATGCACCTGGAAATAGTAGGAGACAGACTACTAGAAATGTGTTTTCCATCACAAACACCTTCAGTACTGGCAGAAACACATGGTTTTGGTGACTGGTAACTTCTTTCCAAGTTTAGTATTGCTTTCACATATTAGCAGTCAAAGAACAATGTTATAGCATTTAAAACAGAATGAAACTCACTAAATAAGAGGAGCACTTACACTGAAATGTCAGTCATGCCCTTTACTAGATTTTTGGAACTCCTGGTTCAAAGGGTTTAGGATGAACATCTGAAAAGGGGGGTTCATTCATCACACTCTTTTAGTATGTTACACCTCAGTGTTCAGGAAGAGCCAGCCAGGGGCAGCCTACAGCTTTTCCTTTCTTTTTGCCCACACCTTACGAATTTTCACTCACACCTTGTAAAGACTTCTTCCCTACTGTTCTCACACAGGGATGCATCCTACACACAAGCAGGTCCCACAGGAAAAATAACCCAACCTTGATAACAAGAAAAACTCCTGGGGAAAAAAGCCACACACACAGACAAGAAACAGAAGAAAAGAAGAATAAGATGTTACTTACTGGTTAACACAGTGATTGACCTCACTGACTTGGAAACCATATTTGAGTTGACTACCAACAGAGTCACTATGTAATACAGGCCATGGTATTTGGCATTAAAAACCACAGGGGCAGGTAAAGTGCTATTGAATTCGTCGAACTGGAAAAAGTAGTTCTTGGATTCTCCAGCTATCTTCACAACATATACAGAGGAGGAGCTCACCACGTCTGACACTTCCAGGGACACAATGATACAATTGTCTTCTTGGACAGCAACTTGGAAGGGCTCTGCACTCTACAAGACAAGAATAAACAGTTTGTTGAGGTAAAAGCTAGTATCTTACTTTCACCTATTTCCCTTGTTATTCATAGGATACTCATGCTATATTTGCAATAAAGTTATCTCTTATATCCTACTGGAGAGTTACCATCAAACAGGAGCAATTATTTCAGGCTGCAATTCACAGTCAGCCAATGTCCACATGTATCTGATTATCAGAGGCCAGACTCTCTGCAGCAGAGGTCAGATCCTGCTGTGTGTTTTCTGATACTTCAGATACTCCATTCCTTACATCCTGAGGAAAAAAGTCTCTGTCATCCTTTCATGAGGAAAGGTTAAGTAGAGCGAAGAAGGATGAGATTGTAAAGGGTATCGGGGCAAGAAGATTTCCAAAAAAGCCTCAATGTCATTTAGATCCCCTCAAAAAAAAGGTGATTAAATCAAGACACTTTTATCTTGCAGAAACAGGATCATATATTCCTCAACACACTACATTCTGAAAGTCTACAGCTGAAGAATACTTTTTGGTTCTGCCTAAGCTTTTCCAAATGGGCATTGTATTAACCATACTTGGCCATTTCTGCAAGTACCAAGTTATAAGCAGCTCTCACCACTGTGTCCATAGTTTTGGCTGGCACTTTTTTTTTCCTAAGCTACAGCATTTATTCTCAATATTTCTTTTATTAGTAGTAGAGAGAAAGGAGCAATTTAATCTTGTTTTCCTATATCAAGAGTGTGTTAAGCCATTGCCAGCTGAAAACACTTTCCTTTTTATTAATTTCAAACCAGCTTGAAGCACTTGTTCTCTACAGGAATTTCAAAACAGATTCACGTTAATTAATGAGAAGGAAAAGTTCAAGCTTACTGTAAGAGTTGCCTTTTTGTTTATTAAACCACACCACACCCTTTAATTTTTTTAACCCCTGTGAAAACTGTAATATCTGGTATTTTCAGTTCCCAACTCCCCAGTGGCTTTTTTTTCCTTCATGTTTCAGAGGTTGAGAGCTCTCAGGGAAAGGTGGAAAAGCAAAGCTAGTTTGCAACTTCTTTGATCAAGTTGTTCTTGTACCAGAGAGAGATAGAGACCTTCTACAGAGATTAATTCTAGCAGCCTGACTACCTCCTATTTCCTTTTGGTTTTGTTTAGTGCTTGTTCTTCCATGAAAACAGTATTTCTGGGATTTACACTGCAAGAACCAGGATCCCTACTTGAAATTCACACAAATCTGGTGTTGCCAACTCCTGGCATTAAAAATAAAAGAGAAAAATAAAAAAAAAGGCAAGAAACCCCCAACAACAACAGAAATAAACTGGCCAAGAACAAGAATAAGTAATTGGTTGTAGGAGTGTAAGATTTAAAACAGCAGCAGTTGGATTTTCTTAGGGTTTTTTTGTTTTGTTTTGCTTTTTGTTTTTACATCTATTCATGGTATCATCATTGGGCTTTGACATTTACAGTGTACCTAAGGTTATGCCACCCTAGAGGCAAAGCCACAGGCTTGAGACAGAAGCCCTAAGAAAACCCTCTGATCTGATCCAAGAGGAGAGCAAGGCACAAAGCACATAATCAGTCCAACCCAAAGAGGATAACCTGTCTAGACAGCTCCAAGCCTGAGATTAAAAACAGAGGCAATGCAACTTCAGCTGCTGACTTGAGGTTTGCTTTAGTCTTTAAAAAATTACTTTTAAGTTGTTAAAATTGTATCTGCCAACGTTATCAGTGGGAGAATATTTTGGTATGGAAGTCTGGGTAATTTTTCACAGATGACAAAGAGATTGTTCCAAAAGGTTTATAATGTAAGACTACAACTACAAGAAAGCTTCCATGTGTTCTCCTCAGCCTGAGCTGAATTCAACAGGCTTACCCTTGAGCAGATCAAAATTCTACATTTCAAGTGGCTGTATTGTGCCTTAAATCCCAGTCTAGCATTTGGATTCACACAGACTCAAACATTTAAATGGGGATTATGCTTAGATCTGGTCAAAACCAAGTGGAGTTTCTCTTATCCTTCTTCCTCCCTATTTTCTTTTCACAAAGAAAATGTGGAATCAATCCTACTTCAGCCCTCCTGGTGTGGGAAGACATGAGAAGGAGGGCACAGGTGACCTGGCTTTCCAGAAGCACATGCACTATTGTACACAGAAGCCATTGTTGTCTTCCAAGACCAAGAAATGACTCAGCAAGGTTATTTCTAAACACTAATCTTGCAGTTCATGTATAATCCCACAGAAATCCATGGGTTTTGACCTACCACAGACTTGCATTTGAATGCTTCACTAGAGGAAAAAGAATGATGTCTCTAAAATTATTCTGGCCTTCCCTTGGCCTTGGCACTGAATCCCACAGCTCTAACTCCATGTGCCCACCTGGCTATGAAGAACCAGCTCAAAGTGCCAAACAAATTTATATGTGCCAACAAACAGTTCAAAGCAAGTTCCTTAGAGCTGGATACTATAAATCATTTGCTATGCTAATCAAGTACAGCTGGAAATTAAGCATATAATTGCAGAGTCATGGATATTCCTAGGATATAATTAGATATCAGTCAATGCTCATATGGGTTGTGATTTTACTCTTTGATTCTTCCATGGGTATTGTATTAACTGTGATGAAGACCATGCTTTTATTTTTTTCCCCTCAATGTTTTCCTGAACACACAGCAAGCACCCTTCAGCAAATGGTTCATGAGCCTTCTTCAACAGTCCTCACACAATTAGCACAGAATGCCTCTGTCAGCTAAATAAAACTCTCAGACATTTGCTATAGTTACCTATGACACCTGCCTGGGATAAATAGCTTTTTTTGAGTCCTCTGTCACCTTAAGCACATGGGGACTGGATAGCTTTCCTCATCCGTGGGCCTGTGTCCAGATTCTTTGGGACCACTGTTGCCATAATGCATTTTTTGAGGGCCATCTCCTTAACAGCCCGTGGCAGGCACATTCCTCTCTCACTCAGGATTTTTCATAGAGGAGCACAGAGGAAAGAAAGAGAAAACTATTTCTATGTCTGCTCCTTGTTTTTCCCATGTGGAATGGGTTTTGAGAATTGTTTACCTGGGGGGGGGGGTGATTGCTTGATTGGATTCTGGTGAGGATTGAGCCTGATGGCCAATCCAACCCACCTGTGGCTGGACTCTCAAAGATGGTCACGAGTTGTGAGTTAGATATGGTAGTTAGAACAAGTAGGTTTGTAGTTTTAATATCTCATTTAAATAGTATATTGTAGGAACCCAGAGCTTCCCTCTGGCTGCCCTGGAAGGTCTGGGACCCTGGCAGGGGGTCAGGAACCCCCCCCCTGTACAGAGCCCCAAGAAATACTGTCTCTGATCTCTGTCTACAGAAAAGAGTTTTAAATCTTACAGGATGAATTACAAGCTCTGAGTGTTTGATATAAGTAATAAATAAGTGTGGCACGGGTGCAAAAGTGAAATTTTAGGATTCTAGATTAGGGGTTCAAAGTGGACAAGATTGAGGAAATTGGGTGTCTTGTCCTTTTTCTCCTTCATGCCCTCCATGTTTCACTGTAGTGTTGGCATTTTTCTGCTGGTTTAGGCTGGGGACACACTGTTCAGTGACAGATATTGGCATATTATTGTAAATATAGCACAGGTAATTTCTGGTATATAATGTTTGTAACATCCCACTGAGGGCAGAGCCCCACACACTGCCCTGCAGGACAAACCTGTGGCAGGGCAGCAGAACATGTTAGAGATAAACAGAATAAACAACCTTGAAAACCAGCACAGACGAATTATGGCTTCTTCTTTGGCAGCGGGGCAGAGAGACAGACTTTTTACAATCTTGGAATCATCAATGCCACATATTCCAACAGTATATTAATGTATTATAGCATAGTTATAATAAAGAAATCATTCAGCCTTCTGAACTGGGTCGGTCATCATCATTTTTTTCCCCACCAGGTTCATCTGTATTTCCAATAGCAGCCCTTGTGCCCCATCCAACCCATCAACTGTGCCCCTGTGCAGGATATATCCTTCCTCTGAGTGGACCCTGTCCAGTGATTGTCTGTCCGTCTTCCACACCTCTGTGTGCTCAGAGGCTTTCCACATGGTACGTGGCAGACAGCTGTTGTTCATTATCCACTGGCTCTTTAAATAACTTTTAGCCTTTAATTTCATCTTCTAAGACTGGAGTGGCAGTTCAGAGATCAATAAAAATAATTGGCAATTAACATGCCATGAGACAAAATCCTTTATCTCCTTTGGAATATGAATTTCACTTGGGCAGTGTTTTAAAAAGGACAGACCATTCTGCTCATCCTTCCTTCAAGTTGTACAAGGCCAGGGCTGGGATTGTGATTTTAAAAAGAAGGCTAAGAAAAAAGCTGAGTATTTTCTCTAAGCACCACTGGAAGTGACAAACATGCCCCATTTAACTAGATTGTAAAGCCAGTGTGTCTTAAGACTGACAGCATCAGTATGGTAAATACACATTTCATTACTTCTGGTCAGCTACCTCCAGGATTTAATTTGCTGGTGTCACAGCCTGAGTGGCTGTTTCATGCCTGTGGGGAAATTTGGCAGGGCTTATGCATTCAGAACCAAATTATTAGCTCCAACTTCCTTCCTAGTTTATTATTACAAGCTTGTGCCATGATAAAGCACTTAGAATAAAAAAAAAAAATTAAAAAAGAGGGGGGAAGTAAATCCCACAGTGTGATGCCTGTTCATTTCCAGTGCAGGGATGAGTCATGTTAGTGGAATTTCCAGCCAATAACCAGGTCCCAATTTAAATAAAAAGGAAGGGGAGGCAAGGAGATACACAACATGTCAAATAAACAATAACCAAAGAGTAATAGGAAAATAAATGGTGTGCAGCAAAGCTCAGAGTCCTCTTTTCAGAAGGTTATATCCTCAGTTTATTTCCATATAACAGAATGAGTTTCACACATGAGGAAGAGATCAAGGTTGCAAAACAACTACTGATTTTAAGTACTCTAGCTTTTGAATGTCTCATTCTGAAACACATTGTGCCAGAACCCAATTACCGGAA